AGGAATGTTTTCTCGTAGGGCCAAAGATTGTGATGAGTCGTGCTTAGATAGGAGTCATGCGTAGGTTCTGGGTATAAATACCAAACCCCGGCTATTATAAAACACACACAATCAATCTAATACAAGTTATTTACTTTTTTGGCTCCGGCCAACCCTTAGGAGTAGGAGTAGAGTAGATCTCGGCGAGTTCTTCAGCAAGTACAGCTGCATTGATCAGGTCGACCTCCACTGCTTGTCTGTAAGTACCATCATGGCTTATACCTCTGTTCGTATGGCTACATCGATCCGATCAACCTCCACTGCGACTCTGATATGAGTTAGTTATCGACTCTTGTCTAGTTCAAGTACGGCTGCATCGATCCGGTCGACCTCCACTGCTCGAACTAGATTAAGGTCAAGTTATCGGCTCTATCTAAGGGTGGCGATCCTTCGGATAGATTCATTAAGTTACTGATATTGCTTATTGCTTCCATTGTTTATTTAATTATAGCAATATCACTTCGCCCGATTGGGATTGATCTAGATCGGCCTTACATCTTTGTTAACCCATCGTTTGTTAATCTAAACTGATTTAATCTGCACTTTAAACGATGAGTTATGTTTTATCGGCTGTTTTACATCAATCTTGATCATGCATAGCGTGCGGTTAAGGCGTGTTTGATCTTGAGTAGATCTAATGGCTAGCGAAAACTGTTCCATGGCCCATTATCACGGCCTGTGTGATTCTGTCTCACACCCCACTGTTAGCACCATGGAGTGGGGATCGTTATTTGGTAGATCTGTTCCTGAGAGGACATGACCTTAACTGTGTGCTATGCCTGAATCGGCTGTCTTAACTGATATCGAGCGCTTTCACGAATAGTTCGCATCACGAGTTTGTTGAAGTAGCGATAGGTTGAAAGATGTGTTAGCCCCATGATCTTATTATTGTATTATGGCCTGCATGATTCTGCCTCATGCCCCACTGATATTAGTAATAAGTTAGGGTCGTCGAGTCTAATGTTGTTTCTACGGCCTGCATGATTCTGCCTCATGCCCCACTGGTCACAACAATAGATGAGATCTAATATGTTTATTAGATTTATCTCTATTAAATGGTTGAATGATGATGAATTGTTTCTTTCATAAAAAAGGGTTCGGTTACTTACAGTCATTTGCTTAGCATGAACTAATTATTGTTGATTTCTTTTTACCAGTAACCAGTATTTGTTTAAATAATGATATTCATAATGATAACTGATTCTTCTTACACAACTCCATGAGCTTTAACCGATTTATTCTTACGAATATGCTAGAATCAGCTATTTAGTCGATCTCCTTTCATATCGGCTCTCAGAGCCGCACATTCGGGACTGTCTGGCAACACCGGCATGTTCCGCCCTTAATTACTGATAAGCTTTCTCTCCTTGTCAATTGCATGGTCAAATTGACTCGCATGTCTCGAGAGGAGTGTGCAGGATCGACCACCCTTGCGCTAAAGCTAGGCGGATCTCCAGCTCCATCGAGCGGACCCTTCCGGCTTGTTACGTGTGTCCTCGGCACGGGACGAAATTCTGTGTCGACAGTTACACAACACACTCAACGCAATACAACTCAACACAACACCTCTGGTTAGCCATTAGCATAATCAAGCCCATATGAAATATGACTCAACCGGGAAAGCCTCAAACCACTCACACATGTGTCAATCATTCATAACACACACATGGGCGCACATCTCCACCATGTGTTCACAACCCTAAGCACAACAAGCTTTCAACTTGGAGGGGCAAATTACTATAAACCATAAACTCATGTAGCAGGCCATAGATACTATATTTAGTAGCATAGAATTCACTAACATGGTCCTCAACCCTAAACTCTAAACCCTAAAACCAAAATCCTAAACACTAAACATGACAAGCTACTAACCAAGACAAATTACTATAAAAAACATTGCATAGAAACATGTACCAATCATCATAAGAAACTCACAATTCAGAACGCAACCTAGCATTGGAATATCAGAATTGGTCGGTGGAATATCATAATAGCATGCTTACACCTAGAACAGAAACTGATTACAAAGGGAGATTACCATTGATTTTGATGCTCGTTTCTTTAGTAGAGTACACTTTATCACACATTGTTTAGAAGGTGCTACACTTTTGTTAATTATCAGTTGCACAACACATGTGGATTCATTTCTTGGTCCCAATGTTGATGTGATGAGGAGGAGGTCAGCTCTCCTTGAGGTGAAACCCTCCAAGACACATGTACTTACAGAAGCTAAGGTGAAAAATTATTTCATTTTTCACTTATTCAAATAGAGTCAGAGGGATAAGATTTACATGGAACAAGCCTTGACGAGTTGTTCCCCCCTTACATATGGTAGGTCCAAGGTTCATTATACTATACTGATAGACTTTGAGGTATGACATACCTCAAGTGTCGGAGGAGGAGAATCATGTATTGATGGCTCCATTCAGTTAGGAGGAGGTTAAAATGGCAGTCTTGGATATAGAACATAACAAGGCACCTGGTTCGGATGGCTTTCCCACTGAATTCTACCAATTCTTTTGGGAGATTGTGAAGCTGGATTTGATGAGCCTTTTTCATAAATTCCATGCTAGGAGACTGTCCATTCATAGTTTAAATTTTGGGGTACTTACTTTATTACCAAAGATTACTGATGCGGTCCGGATACAGCAATATAGGCCAATATGCCTTTTAAATGTGAGCTTTAAGATTTTTACGAAAGTACTAGATAATATATTATTGAAAGTGGCAGACAAGCTGATAGGGCCATCTCAGACAGCTTTCATCCTAGGTGGCTATATAATGGAAGGTGTTGTAATCTTACATGAAACAATTCATGAGTTGCATAGGAAAAAATAAGATGGTGTCATTTTAAAACTAGACGTTGAAGAAGCATACGATAAACTAAAGTGGCCCTTTATACAACAAGTTCTTAGAATGAAAGGGTTCTCATCAACTTGGTGTGAATGGATTTCGAAAATTATCTCTAGAGGGAGTGTTGCAGTAAAGGTCAATAATAATATAGGTCATTATTTCCAAACAAGGAAAGGAGTGTGTCAAGGGGATCCGTTATCTCTAATCCTATTTAATATAGTGGTTGACATGTTGGCTATCCTTATTTCACGAGCTAAAGAGGCTGAACAAATCAAAGGGATAGTTCAGCATTTGGTAGATGAGGGACTTTCAGTCCTTCAGTATGCGGATGACACTATTATCTTTATGGACAATGATCTAGAGAGGGCCAAAAATATGAAGCTCTTGCTTTGTGCTTTTGAACAATTATTAGGACTCAAGATCAATTTCCATAAAAGTGAATTGTTTTGCTACGGGGCTGTCAAAGCCAATCAAAATGAATATGCACAAATTTTTAGATGTAATATAGGGTCATTCCCGTTTAGATACCTAGGAATTTCTATGCACCATAGGAAACTCATGAATAAGGACTGAAAACATGTTGAGGAAAGATTTCAAAAAAGACCCAATTGTTAGAGGAGTAAGATGCTGTCAGTAGGAGGGAGGCTTGTTCTAATTAACTCTGTTTTGAGTAGTCTTCCCATGTTCATGTTGTCCTTTTTTGAAATTCCTAGAGGGGTTTTGAAGAAGTTGGACTACTTTAGATCACGGTTTTTCTGGCAGAGTGATGAACATAAGAAAAAGTATAGATTGACTAAGTGGGAGGTAGTTTGCACACCGAAAGAACAAGGAGGGTTGGGAGTCCTAAATTTAGATGTTCACAATAAGTGCCTCCTAAGCAAATGTCTGTTTAAGTTGATGAATGGACATGGGGTTTGGCAACAATTGCTTAGGAATAAATATCTAAGGAACAAAAGTTTAACGCAGGCTCAATACATGCCCAGGGATTCTCAGTTTTGGGTTGGCCTTATGAAGGTCAAGAGGGAGTTCCTTTCGTTGGGCAAGTTTGATCTAGGTTCTCAAGTGCGATTTTTGGAGGACTCATGGATAAGACCGCGTCCACTAAAATCACTCTTTCCTGCATTATATAACATTGTGAGAAAGAAAAATACGTCTGTAAGATCAGTGTTGTCTACGACACCGTTAAATGTAGCCTTTAGGAGATCTCTAATGGGTGTTAACTTGCAAGCATGGCACAATGTGGTGGCTATGATGGCAGATGTACAACTAACAAATCAGATAGACCACTTTGTGTGGGGATTACATCAGAATGGGTTGTTTTCTGTCAATTCGATGTACAGAGCTTTATTAGGAGCAGAAGCTATACCATATAACACATTAATCTGGAAACTAAAACTACTTCTCAAAATCAAAGTCTTTATGTGGTACTTGTACAAGGGAGTAATTCTAACCAAGGATAATTTAGCACGATGGCGGCGGCAAGGAGATATGAAGTGTTGTTTCTATTCTTCGAACGAGTCTATACAACATCTACTTTTTTACTGTCATTTTGCTAAGTTTATTTAGAGAATTGTTCATGTTTCCTTTAATCTATTACCTCCAACTAGTGTACACAATCTGCTTACAGGCTGGTTGGATGGGATAGATAGGAAATTGAAATCTCGTGTTCTTGTGGGTGCAAGTGCAATTTGTTGGGCGATTTGGTTAACAGGAAATGACATTGTGTTTGACAAAATTGTAGCACCATCTTATTTGCAGGCTATCTTGGTCACTGTTACAGAAGGAGGAGGATCGCCATTTGATGAAGATGGGTTGTAAGACCATTGAGACAGTCGCGATGGAAGTGTTTGCAAGACACGGCTAGAGTTTTAGTAATAGACTTGCTTGTCAGTAGCGGGTTTTGGTGTTGTTTTCCAATATGACGCAAAACTATGTATTTGAGATTCCTTGGACCGTTTTATTATTGTTTGTAACAAGGAACAGCCATATGTATTCATCGATGCAGAAGCTGGGATATTAATATATTCTCTTTTCTAAAATAGGCTTGTTTATTCTAATACTGTTGTAGTTATACTTATTACAGTTTGTATATATGTTTGCGATGATCTCTAGCTCTTCAGTATGATGATTCCATCCTGAATCATATACGTCATGTTCCAGGGTTGAAAGGGGTTCTGAAGCGTCCAGTATGCCCATCCAAAGGTAGCATTTCCGTAAACATCTTGCTGCACTTTCGCAAACCTCTGGTAGTCAGTCTTATTAGCACCTTGCACGCCCCACGCGGCCGACCATTCTCCTATATATTATACAACATAGCAGTATTTATTTGTACAATTTAGAAATGTTTTTTTTTCCTGAAATGAATGACTGTCAGATCGATTGCTTACCCACAAACGTGAGAGGCCGCCCATTCTGATTTGTGATAGCTTTGAGGTCGGAGGAGCGGTTGTTCCTCACAAAGTCGATGTTCTGCTCTACAGTGAGGCTGTCAAACTTGCTGTCGAACAGGTTGTAGTAATGTACGTCGAGGACGGCGCCATCGAAGCTGCCCACGAACTGAAGGATCTCGGTCTGGTTTGCTATGTTTAACCTGTTAGACATGATCACATAGGATGCCGGTGTGTACCGACGCACTGCATTGTAGCCGTCCTGGTAGTATTTCGTGAGTACAGACAGATTTGCTCCCGGTGCCAACGGCTCATTGAGCAGCTCGATGGCCAAGAGGGCTGTGTTGTTCGCGTACCTGATGATATATAGAGCAGAGCAGCTCGTTAGTACGTTGTTGGTTCAATCGATCATTAAGCCTACAGAAAACTAGATTGCTAATGAATTTTTTACCTTTTTGCAAGGAAGTCGATGACTTGCACGGTTTGGGCGATGTTTGCATCGGTATTGCCCCACTCCTGTGACCCGTCTCTGGTTGCGCTGTGCTCATATGGGTTCTGTGAACCCGGCGCAGCATGCAATGTGACAATAACACTAATGTTGTATTTCCTGTGAACACAAATTACAATCAGTCTCCGTCATTCCTTGATGGACATGAAATTGCAAATGAAATATATAGTTCAATATAATTGCTATATGTATATAATATAGGTCGACAATGCTTGTTGTTGAATGGAGATCTGGAGACACGCTTACTGTCCCCAGCTGAATGCCTTGTCCAAGAATTGGAGAGAGCCTCCAACGAAAGGAGGAGGAGGGTTGTCGCCACTGGCGATCCACCATCCAACCGGGACTCTGACCGCATTCAGTCCACTTGACGCCATGAAATTGAAGTCCCTCTCAGTTATGAATATGTTCCGGTGGTTCTAATAAGAAAACAAACAACATATATTCATGTCCGAACTACAAGCAATGTGATCCGTAACTATTGTTAACCATGTCTGAAAGTCTTTGCAGCATAAGTGCTTATCTTAATTTCTCAAGAAAAAAGTTCTTTCTGCCGATTAATAAGCAAAATAGAAATGACTGCTACTGGAAAAATTATTAGTGGATCCATGAAGCCCGTGCAGTCCACATATGTTGATTATTATGAAAGAAATAGTACTTATAAGTATGTGAATGTTTCTTTGCAAGATTCTTTCATGCTTTCTGTCATTCAAACATCCCAACAAGAGAGTCCTATTTATTCACCGGTTTACTGGTCAATTTGGAAAGTATCGCCAACTCGAAATGGAACAGGTAATTAAAGACTCATTAAGACCAATCATGCATCCTTATATGATGTGTTCCATCACTCTGTTTCCAATATGGCATGCCGTTGTGCCCGTATCATCCATGGCTGTTATGAGTTCTTATATATGGTGTGTTCCATCATTATGTTAAGTTTCACCTATTAGAACCCATTTATTTAGTAGGGATATTGGTCGTATCATGGATCACATATATTTACCAATACGGGCATACGACATACCCACATCATGAATCTGTTATGGATTCTTCTATATGTGTTCCATCATTCCGTTCGGTTTCACCTCTTACCACCCATTTAGCAGAGATCAGTTATTTTAGCAACACATGTAAAGAACATCTGTTCATCATCAGACTAATGAAGCGGCCTCAGAAAACAATGTGTTTGGATATATATATATATCTTACCATGAGCACCTGTGTTGCATTTGCTATGCCATAGCCATTGCATAACTGATACTCCCCTTGTAAGCCACCAACATTGTTTGTTACAAAAACTGAGGGGTCATTGTCACTCCAGTTTGTATTCTGGCCATAGTCCGCCGTCACTGATGCCATTGTCTTCACCTAACAGCATCAGAATGGGGGACAGCAGATCGTCATCACCGTGAGCGCAAGAATTCCGTGAATATATATACCTTCGCCAAATAGGAGTAAATCTTATTAGTATGAGTTAGAAATACCTGCAAGAAGAACCCATTTGGCGCCCTGATGCGCACTCGGCTCTTGTCGCTGTCCCTGCGCACGAGCTGGAACGTCTCGGATTGCCCAGGCGTGGTGGCCGTCGCCACAAGGGCACCGGTATTGTTGACGCCCCAGAACTGCCCGCCGTTCACCCTCAAGTTGAAGGTCGTCTCGTTGATCCTCCACAGCTGCATTGCATGCATAATAAAGTACATACGACTAGTTGAGAACAAGTTTGGTTATTTAGTAGGAATAAAGGTGCACGGTTGGGCAAGATTGATCGACCCTGAAGGTCTCCCAGCCGGACGCATTCACCCGGTCGGCGAGGATGGCGGCGCCCCCTCCCTTGTCAGCAACGAGGTACCTTTTCTGGGTGGCCGACATGAACTGGAGTTGGGTTCCATCCTGCATATATATAAATGCGCACACATGTTCCTTCCACGAAAACTTAACAAATATGACATCAACATATGGTACGGTACAAGTTGCTTATTATATACATACCATGGTGTCGTTGTTCCTAATGCCATAGAAGAGGGACGGCTTTATCCAGCCCTCCGTCACCAGCCAGCCGCCGAGGTTCACCGCCCGAACAGGCAGCTTCGGTGCCGTGGCCGCCGCGGCAGGGTGAGGGAGGAGCAGCCACGACGACGTGCAGACGAGGACGAGAAGCGCGATGCTGCCCATGGTCGTCGGTGACTAAGGATGCCTAGCTAGCAGCTCGCTGGTCGACCAGCCACTTTAGCTCCGATATATATATATACACAGGGGCAGATGCAAAGGGGGGCTGCCGAGGCTACGGCCCGTAGTGTACCTGATTTTTTTTTCGATAGACCACGATTATTTAGTCTCAAATCATCATTAATCTCTAGCTTTAGTCTTAAATTTTTATTATTTAACCCCTCCTTTGTCCCACTCTTGCATCCGCCACTGTATATACACACACGTGCTCTTGATAAGAAGCTATGCCATGCTCTTGCTTTGCTGTGCAAGCGATCGACGCTGTCGCTCCTTTTTTCGTCTACGCACGGTTCCATGTTGGACGACGTACGTACGTAGACACAATCAGGTTCCGTCCGGTGCTTATAGTTCCAATTGCAGGAAACGGATATCACACGCATTTCTTCCAAATAGCAGGACGTATTGACTTGCATCTCGACGATTCCATGCATGCCAAAGGAGGTCACACATCACTAGATAATGTTCTGGTGGGAGCATTCTTCGTCCGAACGCTCCTCGCCGGACCTGCAAACCCGTCCAAACAGGCCTGCTTCCTTCCACCGCCGTATGGTTTCTCCAAAAAAAGAGTGATATTTCTCCATCTCACATGGCTGTCGTAGCGTTCCCCACCGCTGCACGCATCCGCTGCAGGTGCCTCGCCCACCTCGCACCGTGTCCCCATCCACTCGTCCATCGTGGCCACGGCGTGCACTACGCCACCAGGGGTAGGTCACCGCGGGTCCAGACATCGTCTCTCATGGCAGGCCAAAGACACCGCGACAGGAAGGGGAGGCCTGCACCTTCGCCTAGGTGTACATTGGGCTGCTGCTCACAACGTCCCTCTGACTTGAGCTTGCTGGCTACCGCGGTTTCCAACCAGGTAAGCCATGGCCACCGGCGTCGCTGTGTTTCAAGTGTTATAGGCATTTTCAAACTTATGTTTATAGTGTTTCATCTGGATGTTGTAAAAGTAGATCTGGGATGTTGCACTGACAATATACTCATGTTGCAACTTGCAAGTCTACGTTTCAAGTGTTTCAGGTGTTTTAGACGTATGTTTCAAGTGTTTCATTTGAATTTTACATATGTTGCTATGACTACACACGCATGTTTTAAGTGATTTGATATGTTTTAGATGTATATTGTAAATATTTTATCTAGATATTTCAAAATTAAATCTGGTGTTGCACATGCTGCAATGACGTCGGTGGCTGACGGACAGCAGCCTGCCTGCTACTAGAGTGTCGCCGTGGGTCACCCTGACACCCGTGCGAGCGTCAGAGGCCAGCATACGTCTCCGCAATGCGCATCCGTAGGTGGGAGCAGGTGATTTGGGACCCGTGCGAGCGTGGGAAGGGTGCGGGTGCTGCGTCCAAACACGAACGCGGGCATTAGCGCTAGATGGGATGCGGACGCAGGGTGTGATGGGACGCGGACGAGGGAGCTTGGACGCGACTCCGGACGGTAGCCCTTTCGTAAACTTTGCTAGCCTGGTGCTACTGGGTTAAGCGTCGATGTGTGGGCTTGGGCCGATTGAGCTGTTGGCCTCCTAGCTGATGCACCTCGCCTCACTAAGGAAAGAGAAATAGTCTCAAAAAAATAAGGAAAGAGAAATCTCTCTCATGAAAAAATTAAGGAAAGAGAAATTGGCTTTGCCATTTACTGAATCACGGAGACGGTACAATTTCCTTTTCATGGAATGTTGCAGCACTTTTCTCATTTTGTGATCAAAAGTTTCATTAAGATCGTGGTTTGTTTTGCGTAAGGAAATGTCATCGGTCTTTCGTATCATGAAAAAAATCATTGATAATTTGGAATTATTATTACTTCCCAAGCTTTATCTTTCTTATATCACTAGGTAGCGTGTTCGTGCGTTGCTATGGAATAACTAACAATTTATACTAAAAACACACGGATCACACGATAAGATAACAATACTGTTAAATTAAATACCAACGTTAAAGTGACATTTAATAAAAAGCAAAGTTTATGAATTTAACACAGTCATGGAGTGCGCGGCGTCGCAGGTTCACAAACTCTAAAGCTTTCAGAGATTGGGTCGAATCCAAACTAGAGCCTCGGAACCCTACATCTTTTCCTGGACGGGCTTCACTTCGGATGCACCGGTAGCAATATCAACGATCTCCAGTCGATGGACCAAGTCGTATGGATCCTCATACAATGACTCAGACATGTAGATTTTGTTCTCTTTGTACTTGGATACACTTGTTCCACTGAAGCTTTCATTTAAATGTTTAGACATGAACAGTGTCTCATCATCGATGTCCCTCACCCTAGACCACTCCGGCGTACGGTCGTGGAGGTTGCACTTATAGATCGCGCTGCTGTAGGTGAAGCTCTGTGTCTCATGGAACGTGCTCACCATGGCACCCACAATGTGCAGCTCACCGTTTGATTCTGTGTAGCATGCGGTGGCGTGAGCCCAGCAGTGGCGGCAATGATGGCAATAGCGTCGCAGTTGGAGTAGCACCGGCAGCGTTGCTGCTGCAGACGGAGATTTCTCCAGTGTAGTCGATTGCCAAGAACTTGTCTTGGCAGTGGACAATGGACCCCACGGAGAACTCCAGTTTGGTGTCGAGCAACGTCCATGCGCTGTCGACTCCAACCCGGTAGAACGCGACCTCCGTGGAGCACCCAAGCATGGCCATGGCCACGCACTCGCGGGCGGCGGCGTCAAACGGCGTTGAGAGCACGATCTCATGGAAGAACACGTCCCTCATATCTTGATGGCTCTGTCTACGGCATCCGCGTCCCCGTAGCCGTTGGTGAGATGGAGGACCCACCGGCGTGGACCCTAGACACACGTTTCGATGAGGATGTCGCCGCGACGTGTTCGCCTGCTGGAGGGAGCTCAACGCGAGGGGCACGAGCACCGGCGAATGGATTCAGCAGCGTCACGGACGCCGCCTCGTCCATGAGTGCCAGCCACCCACACGAAGAGCCACACACCACCTTGCCGTGCACGTCGGGCAGCGTCTTGGACAAGACCTTCTTCTCCGAACGCGGTTCGAGTCGGGGTCGAACGGAAGCAACAGGACCGGCCCGAAGATCACGAACGGGACGGCAGCGCGCCATGGGGAGCAAGCGGATTGAAAGGATGCCGCGTTGTGGCCTGACGCGAGACGCTGCCAGGAGGAAAAAACTGTCCATTTTACAAATGCAAAGAGGGAGAGTAATTAAATATAGTCAGATTTAGCAAGGTTCTCATAAATACAATGAGGTTTCTTTTGTCTTAATTCTCTTTACTTTTGTGTTAATTTTCTTTCCTTTTGCTCGTTGTCATGTATGCTGGTGCATGCAAACATGCAATATGTATATAGATAGCACAATAATTTTTACTTTCTATTTTGCCGTGATTCCTCTATCACATGACATGTAATATTCAATCAAGGAGAATGACACGATCAATCAATAATTAAGATGTTATGGGATCATAGACGTGGGTAGACGGATGAACCAAAATAAATGTCGCACCAAAAAATTTCTACACTTTATTCTTTTTAGTCGTAGGAGATTCACAAAGTAAGAAAAACCGTTGACTGGTTTGTTTTCTGATGAACTGTGATGATAGGCGGGGGCACCACGGCAGCGCGAGACATGAAAGAGGAAAAGAGAAGACGCGACACGAAGCAGAGGAAGGAGAGAAAAAGTAAACCTAGACCTGTCTAGCGTGTAGAACCGCCGCCTCGCCTTGCCGTCTGAGAGAAAGGGAAGAAGGGGGAAAAAATGCTCGCCAGAACCCTCGTCGGCGGCGTCCGGACCCGCCTCGCGCCGTCCCTCGCGAGCCTCCTCCGCCGCCGCGGCTACGCGTCCCCCGCCTCCTCCTCCGCCGCGGCCGCCGACGACCTTGTCATCGACGAGGACCCGCCGCGCGCCGCCTCGACGCCCGCCGCCACCACCGTGGCGGCCACCGTGCCGACCGTCCTGCAGCCGCGCGTGCTCATCTACGACGGCGTCTGCCACCTCTGCCACCGCGGTGAGTGGGACAGCGAGACCCTGCTCTGGGTTTTTTCTCGGGGGGGATCATTTCGCTGGCTTTCCCAATTGGGCGAACGATTGATGGGCACTCGGTTGTTGGGTCCGGGAAGTTCCCGTGATCGAGAAATTGATCTCGCCTTTGCAATGCAGGGGTGAAGTGGGTGATCAGGGCGGACAAGCACGCCAAGATCAGGTTCTGCTGCCTGCAGTCCAAGGCTGCCGAGCCATACCTCAGGCTGGTGGGCATGGACAGGGAGGACGTGCTGCGGCGTGTTCTCTTTGTCGAGGGCCCCGAGGCCTACTACGAGGGCTCTACGGGTCAGTTACTACACTTCTGATGGGATCAAAACGTCATTGTGTGCTATGAACAGACTAACGTTGTGATGCTGGGGTGGTGTGCAATGCATGATAGTAAGAATGCTTGTAGCAAGTTAGCAACTATGAGCTATTTGGATTACACTTCTTCTATTTTACTCGAGTTTCATGACACCATCTTGGAGGATATTTCAGTTCTTGAGTTATGTGTCCATAGGATGCTGTGCCAATGTGACATCTGTCATGATTTACGAATTGTGGGTACCTTTAGATTCTTGTTGATACTTATGATTTGGGTCAGCTGCAGGATTCATCATTAACAAGCATTGTGGAGGATAGTAATGTAGCAAGCCTTATGATGTTCAGTGGACTAATTTCGTTTTCAGTTTGTTCTGCCTCATGTTGTCCATCCTACTATTTCTCTCGTCATGCATTCTTTACCAATGAATAAATGATGTTGCAGTTGTAGCTGTTATTGCCCTCCTGTATTGAAACCGTGCAAAATTTTAGGTGTGCTTCATTCATTTTTTTTTAATGTAGGTTCATTGCCCCTTGATGATTCGGTAGTCCAAAGTATTGAGCTCCATGTGAATGACAAGCCAAACTTTGATACCATGACACTGTGATAATAGTGACTCTAAACTATTAGAGGGTTTCTTTGTAGGATACCCATTTTGCCAGAAAAAAGGAGAAGACAGCAATTTTCCTGTTGTGCGTACTTTTGAACTGTGTCATGTTTCACCGCAACTGTTTCTCTCTTAGCGATGTTTAATTTGTCTCTAATGATAGTGCTAACATCTTCATTTCGGTTTCAGCTGCACTGAAAGTTGCATCGTACCTGCCTCTTCCCTACTCAGTCCTAAGCTCCTTGCTGATCGTCCCCACCCCGCTGCGGGATGCAGTCTATGATTACATCGCAAAGAACCGCTATGACTGGTTTGGCAAAGATGACGAGTGCATTGTCACCAAGGACAAGGAGATTCTGGAGCGCTTCATTGACCGGGAGGAAATGCTTGGTGGTGGTCCCAGCAATAGCTTCTTTTGATTGCATTTTTTGCTGTGCCGTTGCTCACGTGTACTGTAGGGAAGCGCTGTAAATAATCCTCGCGTCCATCTAGGTACTCTTCGGATAGTTTTCTTAACTCTAGAACTTCTGCATTCCATGTTAAGGACAATGCATAGATCACCTGCAAGGTTTGTCAGATCAGGTTTACTCCAGGCTGATTGCAAAACTTGAGCTAACTAATATCTGAGATTAGAATTTTGCAATATGGATTGGTAGTCGGTGTAAGGCATGAAAGTTAAAAGTGCCTTGATATGACATTATACTTTTACTATACCTGCTGTCTGGTGTATGGTATTTCGTTCAAATAACTGCACTATACTTAACTGTATACTGAGTTGCCACATTATCTTATGATTTTCTTTGCGCTGAGATTTGGATACGAATATTCATGTGATACAGAGGATCTCCTGTAGAGGATGAGGTCGTCTGCACGATTTGTATAATTCATGTTTCCTGTAAGGCATGTTTGGTTCTCTACCCAGCCTTGCCAGCGCTTTCCTTTCGGAAATTTGGTAGTCGACCAAATTTTGCAATCATTTGGTTTGTGTTCCAAACTTTGGTTAAAATTCCTTCTATGTTGCCAATCCTTGTTTATTTCTTGCCAATGTTCGGCCAGGTCATTGGGTGGTCAAAACGGTGACCAAACTTTGGTAAAGATTCGGTAGGGTAATGTGCCCCTAAATCTCTATAGCTTGATGATTGCTTAAACGTTTTACATAACTGGATGACTATTATTGGCATCAGATAAATTTTAGGACGACATATTTTGTTTAGTTGAGATGCTTCAAAACGCTAGGAGCTTTAAAATGCCTCACATGTTGCATGAGCTCAGCTGCTAGCTCAACAAATCATTGTACTGACCAAGACAAAAGGGTTTACTAACAGAATGCTTCTTTGCATGCTTTCAACAAAGGTTGGGAGACGAAGCTGAACAAATACTGCTTACTAGTCACATCACAAAAAACGGAAGGAAGGTATGAACAACAATCAGTACAAAGGCTTTTAGTCCCCAGTAAGTCGAGGTTGGTTAGAGATACAGATAACATATATAGCTGTACAAAAACATTCTCTACATGAACGTTCAAAAACAGCTAAAGGTTGCGCTCATGGGGTTCCAGCCAAGGGAATCCAAGCGTCTCGAACACATCCTTCTCGGTGTGACAGTTAACTATGGCGTCTGATCTGCCAGCCTGTAAAAAAATTATAACAAATAAAACGAAACTGGACAATAGGGATTCACATTCATTATGATATGAATATACGTACATGCTTTCCACCACTGCCACGTGTAGCTAGATATAATCCAGTATCGTCAAGTACATATCCCTTAGAATCTGCTAGTAGCCTTAATCTGCATGGTTTGTTGAGTTTAGATCCAAGGGAAGAGGTAGTTTTCGTTCGGTGACCGTCAGAATAAGAAAAGGGTAGATTTTGAGTTATACCGCCGATTGAGTACATCATTTCCAGTCCAATGAAACAGACCACATGCATATCTGTTCCTCGGGTATACCTGTAGATACACAATGCCAGTCGGTTTTATAACCCAGAAACTGGTATAGTGTCAGGCTTGTGAATTCACCATTCAGTGCCAGCAGCAATAGCAAAACAGGGTTTGTTTGTTACAACAGTAACTAGAAAAGATCATGACAGATCAGTTAATGTAATTACTATATATAATAAGAGGACCAAAAATACTGTTCCTACTTTTCAAGAGCAACATAGCTGACGATGCACATTGGAAACCTCCATGTACCTTTAAGTCGATACGGTGCCGCAGCTCACGCCCAGGGTACGTGCAAAGACCAAAGTATGTGTCGACCCCGCTATCAGTTCCCTGCATTGAATTTCAACCATTTCAGAATTCATAAAAAAACTTGATTATCAGGATTTAGAGTTTTAAGTTAATTTATCAATTTAGTACATCGGCTAAGCAGTTCTTGCTATCACAGGAACTGCTAGAGAACTACAGAAGTCATAGCTCACAGGTGGTGGTGTTTAACAACTTACATCAACACTGTGTATGCTAAAGATAAGATCCTCCCTCAAAAAGTTAATTTCCTTCAGCCGTTGAACAAACTTGGATAAAAATCCTACATGGCTGAAGGAAAATTGTAACGATTTTTGCAAACATTTCTTTACGTACCAACAAAGTTTCAAAATCTTTTAGGTTTACCTTTCTCCATCAGGATGAGTTATAATAATATCCATGTCACCACAAGATGCTTTACCACGTCTATATGATCCTCCACAAACAATTATTACCTACAAACAAAAAAGAATGTGCACAAAAAGTTCAATAGTAACTAGAAATTGTACTTCAACACTATGCAAAAATCAGAAGCATAGAGAACTGTACTGAATCGATGTGAAAGGATTTCAATTCAACTGGTAAAGAAACACCTAGAAGGTTTGCAATGGATATAGCGTCAAGATATGCTTCAATATTGGTATTTAAACAGCTTTTGTGTGCTGGAGAATACAGTAGTTCCCCAAAATGGTCTATGTAACTCACCCCAGGCAAGATATCAGTCCCAACATCTTGTAAAAGCTTCTCCATCTCGCTAACCTAGATATCATCAAGCAATATGTATCATAAGCTAGTAACAAATACACACATAATTATATAAACTACATACTTCATGCCAGGGTATTCTTTGCTTGATATCATCAAAGAACTTCAATCCAATCCTCTGTGCATTTGTAAGTGATTCATCTTTGCGTAGATCATCAAGAGTACGGTGTCCCTTTTCATATAACTTGAGTGCAGTTGCAGGACCAACTCCCCAAACTTCACCGAATAAACTGATGGTCCGTACCTTCAAAGTGAATTATGTTGATATTCACAAAGGTAGCTGAACATGTCCAAATCATGAACAACTTTGTAGTTTGTACATTACCTTTTCATCATTCTCAAAGTGTTCCAGCTTGGAGAGTTTTCCAGTGGTGACTATTTCATTTATCTGCACACAGAGATTGTTGGATTTAGTTGAGGTCATGGGCACTGCAAGTCTAATTATAAATATAAGACTCCTACTGTTTCTGGGAATTGTACTAGTTGACATAGTAATGAAAACAATGTACGCCATCCAGTGGTACTATGCTACTATTTTGAACAATATAAATAGGCAAACGTCTTTGTCAGAACACAAAGATAGCACATGCTTTTTATTAGAACCAGAGTTCACAATATGATTGCTAACTGACCCACAAGATACTGAAAAAAAAATGACCACTGAGGTATGTTTCTTTCACATTATTGAGCCCAAAACATACTTGTTGGCTTGTTCATTTTGTAGAAATAGTGGTAAACAGCAAGAACAATTTTAGGAAGCAATATTAACAGTAATCAATGGTAGAATTAGACATACATACATGGTCTTTCAAAGATTTCCCGATAGTAGGGAGACCTTTGACTTGGTCAGCACTTTCGATTTTGAATGGCAATTTCTCAATAACCGGTATGGCCTTGTAATAGCTAAATGATCTTCTGTCTTCTCCCAGGGCTTCAGGAGGAAATATGATATGTGAAAGCAATCAATTAATTACGAGACTACGAGAGAATTTAGTGCACTTACCCCTATATATATCAATAAGCCTTCCGAAAATTTTGGTGATGTTCCTGTTCAAGTCTGCTGGAGCATATATGCTGGGTCCTCCAGAAGAGACTTCCTGATCATATACAGTTCATAAATTAGCACTCAAATATAAACATAGAGAATACAGATGAGGTTATGACACAGATTTCTTCCAATAGTACAGTTAAGCCCTCTTGCAAGAATGTACTATTGCTTGCGAAAAGGATGTCTGAGAAATGCAATAGTAGCCCTTACGATATCATACTGAAGTTGTGAAAGTGAGGTCCAAATTCATTAACAATGAACATATGTGTGGTTTTGTTCACATTATCTGGTATGGACACAAGAAATGTGAAGAAGGATGGCATGAGAAAACAATATAGTTCAGAATAAAAGATGGAACACTAGTTTTTCATATCACGTTTATATACCTCTATGTCAAATGTACCATGAGAACCTACAGTATCCTTGGAATCTGCTGAGCTACTTTGGCTACTTGCATACTGGTTAGGCTGCTTTCCAGCACTTGATCCTTCAACCGCAAGTGCACTTGCACCAGGAGACCCTCCAGCTGCTAGTTCGCTCTCCCTATCCCCTCCACTAATTCTCTGGCAGTCCCCAGGATACTCACACGACATTTTGGTTCTTTTAGCGGGCTGCGGCGCACCTAAATTTCCAGTGCCAACCGCATTCTTTGGCTTTAATTCCTCTTCGTAATTGATTGCAAACTTGTGGTTGGGCAGCCTCTCCCCGGACTTGAGGCACTCCTCCATCCATTCAAAGGATACCACACTCTGCAATCCAATGTCCAATCCATAAATGGCAATTTGGCATGACAACAAAAGAAAATATATCCATGATGCAAAGCCTCCACATGTCAATGCAGCAACGAGATAGCCAAATACACATGGCAGCACACACGCAGCAGCTTGCGCGCAGGAATAGGAGCTAGGGCTTGTACGCAACGGGAGGGGGGAAGCGAGCAGCGATTACCCCGCTGAAGCGGTGGAGCCAGGCGGCGTCGAGCTCCCGGAGCAGCGCCTTGGCGTCCATGGCCAACACGTGGTTGACCCCGGCCAGCTCGCCCTTGGTGGGCTTCTCCACGACTCGGCCCCCCATCTGCACCAGCCTCTGCTTCCACACCTGCATCGACCATCCATCCCCAAATGCCTAAGCACACAATAACGACTCGAGGCGCAAACGAGAGTGGGTTGGGGGAAGAGCGCGACCTCGAGGCGGCGAGCCTGGACGCCGTGGGGAACGATGAAAGCGGAGATGCCGCGGAATATGCCGTCAGGGTCCCGCTCCGCCGCTGCGGCGGGCTTCCGCTTCGGCGCCATCAGAAACCCCTCCCGCCTTGTCCCCTTGCGGGTACGGCGTCGTTGGGGCTTTGAGTTTTCTGCAGTTCTGCCGACCAACTCCTTTCCGTTTTTGGTTTTCATCAGTTGTCCCGAGGATTGGCCTTCCGCCTTCGGTCAAAGAAAAAAACTTTAATCTTCTCTATAAATTTATTTTTAAAAAGTAGCATATTTATAATCAAATTGATCTTATTTTTCAGAGAATATATTTTCATAACATACCTATTTAGTGTTGTGTGCATTAATATTTTTCTTTTATAAAATTCCCGTCGTGTAAGAAATGCAATACTTTGTGCCCATGGGAAGACAGGCCTCGTGTTAATACATTCCTTTGCTAACTCTGCGGTTTACACAATGACAATAAGATATATTATAGAAAGCCTAGTAGCCACAACCATTTGCACATAAAATCTTGCTAGATCAATTTACAAGCAGAAAACCAAATATGAGCAAGCACAGTAATATTTGCACAAAATCATTTACAATACACCATCCAAACAAAAATAAAAACCGCACACAAATCCTATATATAGAACTTCAATGTTATCCTCCTCCTAACATGGGGAGGGGATTATTGCTTGTAAAAAAAATCAAATCAAATCAATAATTATAGTTTCTTTCCCTCAAATTTTACAACTCAAGCATTGTACAAAACCCCCCAAAAAAAACAAACAGAAGGCAAGCCGAACTATCACCAATAGTATTCGATCCACACTCTGTTAAAAACTGTTGCTAACTAACTGTAACCAGCTAACTGCTGTCTCATGCAGTTTCTGCAGTGTCAGTTGTAGCTGAGGGCTTTTCAGTGGCAGTGTCGTCCTGAGATGACGGCTCAACGACTGCGTCCGCGTCTGCCGGCTTCTCATGGACTGGGTCCTCTTCCTCTAATGGTTTGCCAGCGGCTGATTTCTCAGGGGACACGCCCTCCTCTAATGCCTTGACACCGTTCTCCTCTTCCTGTTGTGGCTTCTCCACAGCTACACTGTCCTCTGATGACTTGGCATTTGCCTCGTCGTCCTCCGATGGTTTCTCAAGAGCAGCGTTGTCTTCCGATGGCTCTACAATTGCCTCACTTCCCTCCAATGACTTCTCAAGTGCCACACTGGACTCTGGTTTGGCAATCACCTCATCTTCCTCTTTTGCTTCCCCAAGGGCAGCATTGTCTTCTAATGGCTCTGCAGTTATTGAGCCTTCCTCCAATGGCTTCTCGGGAGTTACAACGTCCTTCGACAGCTTGGCAGCAACCTCTTCTTCCTCCAATGGTTTATCAAGAACAGAATTGTCTTCTGATGGTTCCACACTTGCCACACCTTCCTCCAGTGGCTTCTCAGGACTTGCAATATCCTCTGATGGGTTGGCACTCACTTCATCGGCCTCCAATAGTTTCCCAAAGAATGCATCGCTTTCTGATGGCTCCGCGCTCGTCTCATCCTCCTCCAGTGGCTTCTCAGGAGTTACAGTATCCCCTGAAGGCTTGGAGCTCTCCTCATTGGCCTCCAATGGTTTCCCCAGGGGTAGCATTGTCTACTGATGGCTCTGCATTTTCCTTGTCTTCCTCTGATGACTTCTCAGAAGTTACATGGTCATCTGGCAGCTTGGCCCTCACCTCTTCTGGCTCCTCAATAGCTTTGTTTTCCTCTGATGGTTTGCTGCTGGTATCTTCGTGGTGCATGCAATCTTCAACAACTGTGTCACTTCCTGGTGTTGTTTCTATGGGTGCACTTCTCTGATGTGGTGTCTGATAAGAAATGTCACCTTGTACAGGTTCATCAGTGGTTATGCTGCTGTTCTGATGGCATACAAGAAGTGTTTCAGTATCTGAGCTGCTTTCTGACGGTTTATCACAAACAGCATCACTTTCAGTTCCCATTGGCTTCTTAGCAGATGCATCATCTTGAGGTTTCACTGGCTGATCAGTTTCCTTATCAGGAAGAGCATCAATTTGCGGTTCTGGTGCCTCCATGGTAATCACATCAGTTTGAGACTCTGATGGCTTACTGACAGATACATTGCTCTCAGGATCTGATGACGGTACTGATAGTTTATCAGGACCTGCATCACTTTGAAGCCTAGAAAGCTCATCACTAGGTGTACTACTTTGATACACTTCTGGCTTCTCAGTTGATTTATCGCTTTGCGGTTCTGATGACTGCTCAACTGACTGATCTGCATTATTTTGTGATTCTGCAGGTTTTTCTGTTGCTATGTCACTTTTAGGCTCTGATGAATCTTTGGCAGCTGTATCACTAACAGGCTCTAGTGGATTCCCAGGATGATCCTCATTTTGAGGTTCCAATAGCTGCTGCATATCCACATCCTTCTGATGTTCTGATAGTTGCTCCTTTGGAACCTCAGCAGGTGCAACGCTTTGAGATTCTGATGAGTGCTCAGCAACTGCATCACTTTCAGCTTCCATTATATGGTCAGCTGCCTTCTCAGCCACAATGCATTTAGACTCTAATCGCTGCCCAGCATTTGGATTGCTTTGAAAGTCTGGAGGATTCCTACCAGATGAAAGCCCTTCAGGTTCTGAGTGATCCTTGTTTAATTTAGTGGCATTACTTTCAAGCTCTAGCATCTTTTCAATAGATGTTTCACTCCCTCTCGTCTCCGCAGCAATCTTTTCACTTTGATGTGGCTTCTCAACCTCTATAGTTTTCAGTGGCTGCTCAGATGGTTCATTAGTTTGAACTGGCTCCTCTGAAGCATCTTTTATTGATGGCTTCTCGGTGATCAAATTGGTTAGAGGTGGCTTCTCAACAGCCATGGTGCTTTGCAATATTTTCTCAGTAGCCATATTCCTCTCCAAGATCTCCTGAGGGGCTGTATCACTTTGAGATGGCTTCAATGTGGCTGCTACACTTTCTACCTTCTCAGTGATCATACTTTGAAGTGGTTTCTCCGCAGCAGTGTCAGTCTTTGATAACTTCTCAGCATTAAAAGCACTTTCATATGGCTTCTCAGTGGGCTCAGGGATCTGACTAGGTGCTATGGTAAGCATGTCAGTCTGTGATGGTTTATCTGTGGAAACATCACTTTGCAATACGGTTGCAGCCAGTGGTGGCACTTTGGTTGTCTCACTTGTTACTGATAGCTTCATGGATGTATCATTGCTCTTGTTTGTAACTTCGATGGTCTGCGATTGGTTTTCAGTGGCCACAATGACTTTCTGTGGCTCCTCAGTAGGTACATTGCTCTGAAACATTTTCTCAACTGTGTTGCTTTGCACTGGACTCTCAACAGCCACCTTGCTTGGCAATGGCTTATTGCTAGACATATTACTCTCTAGCTGGTTTTCTGGAGTTACACTCCTTTGCCATGTTTTTTTCACAGCTACATTGCTTTGGAACGGCTTGGAGACAGCCACACTGCTTTCCAGTGGTTTCACAACAGCTGTACCACTTTGTGACGGCTTCTCAGTTGCAGCACTGCGCTGCCACAACCTTTTGACAGTTCCACTAGTTTCAGTCGCCTTTGGATCAACTGCAGTGGTCAGGGGTTGCTTCCCAGTGCCTATGTTGCGTTGCCATGACTTTCTAACTACAGCCACAGTATTCTCTGATGGCTTTACATCATCTGTAGTCTTCGTATCATCTGCGCTCTTAGCATCATCTGGACTGGCGACCGATCGCTTCACATCATCTGCACTCTTCGTATCATCTGCACTCTTCGCATCGTCTGCACTGGTGTCTGAAGGTTTCTCAACGTTTTCAGTCACAGGGGCTACTGTACTTGTTTCCCCTGATCTCTCATCAACCACACTGGTTGCAGACGATTTCTCAGTACCTACAGTGCTCTTTAGTGACTTATTATTGAACATCCTGCGTCCCCATGGACTTTTAACTTCTGTGGTGTTATCTAATGACTTCATGTCGGTTGTTGGTGATGGTTTATCAGTAGCTACACTTTTCTGTGACTTCTCAGTTGGTGCACTGTTCTGTAATTGCTTCTCAGCAGCCATATTGCGTTGCCACGGTTTTTTTACCACTTTGCTGCTTTCTGATGGCTTTGCATCATCTACACTGGTCGCTGATGGCTTATCCGATGGTAAAACGCTCTGTGGTGGATTCTCAGTTGGTACATTTTGTTGCCATGGTTTTTTTACTAATGTGCTGCTTTCAGACTGTTTCATATCAACCCCATTACTTGATAATGGCTTCTCAGTGGCATCACTGCTCACTGATGGCTTTACAGTGCTTGTGCTACTCAGAAACGGTTTATCTGTTTGCAGACTTCGTTGCCAGCGTTTTCTCATGGCTGCACTGTTTCCTGATGGCTTTACATCAACCACACTGTTCTGCAGTGGCTCTTCTACACTACTTTCTGATGGCTTCTTGTTGACAACATTATTCTTTGACTCACTCTCAGTACCTCGTTCATTTTCTGCTGTGGTGCTCTCAGATGGTTTTGTGACATCAACACTACTTTGCAATTGTTTCTCAGCTGCAACATCATTCTTTGAAGTTTTCTCATCTGTAGGCTCATTTTCTACTGGTTTCCTTGTGACTTCATCACCTTGATCTGGATTTTTGGTGGCTTCTTCAGTTTCTGGTTGTTTCTCAGTAGCAACTTCTGCATTCCCAGAATTGTCCTCAAACTGACTGAAATTCCCCTTAACCATAAACAGTTGAGAATGGTGGGTCTTGCAATAAAGTTTGCCTTCATGGGTGATATGATTGGATGGGCCGAGCGTACAACCACCATGGGTGCAGCGGAAGCATGATTTATGATAAGAATTTCCATTAAGAGCAACCTGCAAAAATGTAACGGCGTGATGTAAATGTGCCCTTAAATTGTACTCCGCAAAAGAGGCTGGTTAAAATTATTCTATGACCCTGACAGCTATGCACTTAGTGCACTATGATAGAGAAGGTCACTGAATTCTGAACCACATACTTTTGGCTTAGCACACCATCACTTTGGCTTGTGGGGAAGAGATCAAAATTTTAATACTTAAGTATTTTTTTCTACATGTTACATGC